AGAATTTTAAAAAATAAACTTAAAATAAAATAAAAATGAAAACTTGAAAAGAGAAGAGAAAAACGAACTTTATAAAACTAAAGTAAGAAAAAGATTGAAATCTGAGTTGTGTCATTAGCCATACCCCAAGAGGGTATTTATAGCCTCTAAAAACCTAGAGATAAACATAGAAATTAAAATAAAAAAATAATCCTAAAGATAATTCCAAATGTTTTCTAAATTCAAACTTTAAAATTTAAAAATAAGTCTCCTAAGATATCTATGTCCGTCCATATTCCAGAAGGTGCTGACTAGATCTTCTAGAAAACTGCTGCTAACTGGAACTTCTAAAACTGTCACGTCAAACCGTGTCATGCCCAGAGTCGTGCTCATGTCTCTAACCATGACCAAATAATAAAAAAATACAGAATGCACCCATTTTACCACTAATTATGGAAATTTAGATCATGCACAAAAATAAGCATAACACAACCAAATCAGCAGTAATAAATCCATAATATCAAAGATTTAACAAGAAAATAATATAGATTTAGATCGCCCTTCACGTACCTTGCATTCTCTTTAGATATACATTGGACTATGAATATGAAATGTTAATGTATTGAATATGTGATCGATTGGAAATGAATATTTTATCGGTTATTGTGATTTGACATTGGTTGTCATGATTTTAAATCATGAGATATTGGTTTTACAGGTTTACTGATAATGAAATGACTTATTTAAGCTGGTTTGGAATTCATGTGTTTTATTTAAATAAATTATATTATTTTGAATTATTATGCTATTTTTATTTTATACTCCTTATTTTACTTATAATGTCTCACTAAGTTATACTTAGCATGTGATTGTTTTGACACGTAAGTAAAGAAAAGGAAAAACATATGAAGTGAGGAGTACAATGAGCATCATCGGGCAGAATCAGATCTACCGCTAGAATCAGTATGAACATCTTCTGATGTCTCTTTTGACTTAATAATAGTATGTATATTATGTGTTTTGGTTTTACCGTTTAATTATCGTAGTTAAGACTGGTTTTTATAAAGTAAATTATATGGGCTTAGTATAAATATTACTTTGTATAAAGTAATTATCGTAGTTTGACTTAATAGTGACATGTATATTATGTGTTTTGGTTTTATCGTTTAATTATCGTAGTTTAGACTGGTTTGTATAAAGTAAATTATATGGACTTAGTATAAATATTATTAGGAAAAAATAGTATTATGAATGAATAGTAATTTACTAATTTTATTTTATATGTTATCGAAATGGATTTCACATTAGGCAGTTTTTAGACATTTAACTTATGATATGAACCAACATCAAACTGCTAAGTTGATGTTTGAAACTGATATTGATTTGGATGTTTAATTATTATATTATGACTTTATTCATTATATTATTTTATTGAAAGGATTAAATTGGAAATTTTAAAGAAACAAAATTGTATTGGTTTTTAACTATAGAATGATTGTAAATGTCATGTGACATCTTTGACTCATATTATGGGATGTATACGGGTTAATGGAGTTACACTATCATCCTACAGGTAGCCATTATAACCCTACAACAGACAGATGCACTAACGAGTCCTTATATAACCTCTCAGGCATGACTAAGAAACGAGATGTGACCTCAATAAAATCACCTCATCTTAACTGCTCTACCTCTTCACGAAGACACATCACTTTAACGCCGACAATAAATTATCCATCACCAAGACACAAACCGAGGCTCTCCGTTCAAATTAGAAGATGTGAACCACCAATAACCATCACAAATTCACTATCCATTTTTCCCTATCAACAACTTCAAAGGCTTTTTATTTTGATTTTTCATATAAAATTTAGAATCTTACTATTGTGAAGCATTTGGTGCTATAATTTAATCTCTATAGATAACATTATTTTTCTCTAATAATTCTTAAGGAAGTGGATGCTATAAAAAAAATTAGATGCACAAAAATTTGCATACTTTTCTATAAATGAGACATTACTTGATAAAACGAAAATGTGTATATAGAATCATAACTAAAGAAAATATACATCCAAACAACTGCACCAAAAGAAGCAAAGTAAGGAAAACAAGCTACCAATATTTTCCATGTTTTTTTATTACTTGAGATAATCTCATTAATTATTGTTGCTAAAATCCACAAACCGAGTAGGACCCGGTGCCTAAAACTGTCCTAAAGGCGGGGCCTACCACCAACCTCAAAGATTTTCTCTCCCGACACAACCCCATTAACCCCATTGTATAAATAAATAATATATTTCATTTTTCAGTTTTAAAATATTTTTTATTAATTTAAGATAAGTAGAAGATAATATATGTTTAAAGATAATTTTAATAATTTGATATTAAACGTTCATATTTTGATATTCTTTGTGTTCGAGCCTAAAACCTCAAGGAATAATAATAATTTTTTACTTTTCTTGTAAAAAAATGAAATAATTACTATTTCTAATTGAGTTATTTTCAACAATAATGAAATAATATTATTGAATAATTACGACTTAAAAACAAAACGAAGGTTTCAAACACAATAACACTTATATATTTGAAACTTTGATCAAATTAGCCCCTAAATTTTACAAATTTAATAAAATTGACTCTTGAACTTTTTTGACAAAGTGATCCCTAAACTTGATAAATCTAGTCAAATTAACTCATGAACTTTAGCTAGTAACTTATAAGTGTAGGGGCCAATTCAAACACCCAAAAGGTTCAAAGACTAATTTGACAAAGTTTGTCAAGTTCATGGCCCAAGTTATCCCCCAAAAAAATTAGAAATCAGTTCAATCAAAATTGTCAAATTTAAAGGTTAATTTGACCGAATATGACAACTTTAGGAGCTAATTTGTTTTATAAGTCAAAAATAAATAAAGGAAAAAGTTTGAAACCAAAATACTCAAATGATTTATATAATTTTTCATATGAGGTGACATAAGTTTCAAATTTGAAATTCAAGACTTAACAATGTAATTATTTTTAGGATAAACTACGCCAATGGTTACTAATGTTTGAGTTAGTGTTCGTTTTCACCACTGATGTTTTAAAAGTCACAAATCAGTCACTGACATTATTGTTTGTTACAAAATTGTCACTTGATGTTAACAGTCGTTAACAATCTTACTACAGTAATGGAATGCTGATGTGGCACGTTAAAACAGATGACTCAACATGTTTGACTGATCGTTTGACTTTCTTCTTCTTAAATTATTTAAAAATAGATAAATAGTATTATTTAAAAATATAATATCATATATTATTATGATATATATGAGTATATATTAATATAATATTAAAATATATTATTATTAAAATTATATTGTTTGTATAATAAATATTTTAATAATTAATATTTTTGTTAAAATGCTATTAAAATATTAATTTAATATTAAATATATAAAATAATATTTTTTGAGTGCTTATACTCTAAATGAAAAGTTAGGAAAATATTTTATGGAAAAATCAGATGGTAAAATAATTTACAGAAAATACAAAGAAACTAAACAAATGAACGAAAATCAATTACATATATCAAGCACTGAAAAATATTTTTCGTAAAACCAATTACATATATCAAACACAAAAAAATAAAAAAATATTTTCGAAAAAAAAATTTCAGCTATCAAACACACCCTTACTTAATTTGCAAATGAATTTTATAAACAAAATACAAATAAATAATACTATTCATTAGCAATTGATATTAGAAAAAGTAAAATAAAAAGGGAGCACCAACCAAAGTAGGGAGAACGGTGACAACTGACAGCTCAATCTCAGCCGACTTTCTTAAATAACAAAACAAAAAATGAAGTAAATTAAAAGTTGCCTTTATTATTGGTATTTGCTTTTCCTATTATTTAATTTTCTCATATAATGGACGGTTGGCTTTCCAAATAATGCTTAATTAATGTGTGTAATTCTTTTTTTAATAGAATAAGTGCATTTCTTTCTTGCTTTTTCTATGGGAATTTTAGATTTTTTGTGTTTATTATAGGCAATTGCACAATATTGCAAAAATGGTCACAGATGGTATTTTTTTCTAATTTGTTTATCGGAAAAATATACAATAATTAGAAATTATAATAATCCAATTTATATCCTTACCTGATAAGTCATACACATGGAATTTATATATGGTAATAGAATATAAAGAAGAACAAAATTATGATTAACAAGCTTGAATCGCATGAACTAATCCAAATCTATTAAGAAAAAACTCAAAGGTTGAGTAATAGTTACCTAAATCACCAAACTACACACTTTTCTCATTTGCTTAAATACAATAATAGCTTAAAATATAAGTATAACAAATAAAAATATTCAAAATCAGTTTATTGTTAATAATTTATAATAAAAAAATAAATGGTAAAGTACATAAATGGTCCATCGACTATAGAGTATCCTATAACTATTAAAAGTTATAAAATGGTCACCTGATTATTCATATGTTCCAAGTTCATCCTTTTGTTAGAAAAACGATGATCGTTTGAGCTAAATGTTAATATGTTGATTGTGATAGTATAAAATCTGATTTTGAAATTGTGGGAATTATATAGTCATTTGATATTCTAAAATCATATTTTATCATATCTCAATCGTTAGGATAACGTCAAACTCAGTTGACCATCAATTTTTTAACAAAAAAGATGAATTTAAAACATACGAATAGTCAGGTGACTATTTTGTAATTTTTAATAGTCATGAAACTCAACAAAGCAACACCCTATAATCAGGAGATGATTTTGTAACTTTTAATAGTCGAAAGACTCAATGAAATAACATCTTATAGTCTAGGGACCATTTGTATATTTTACCCAAAAATGAATTGTGAGAGGATAGAAACAGCTTTATCTATTGGGTAATTCATTTTCCCTTTGTTTTATCTGATCTTTCTTCTTCCAAATAATAATGATTCCATAGCCTCCTTTTCTCTCTTTTCTCAACCAAAGCAAGAAAACTTTGATAGTTCCCCCTCAATATAAAAATAGATGCTTTTCTTTTTGACATTTATATGTATTGATTGATTGTTTTCATGCTTTAACTTTCCCTGTGTATGTAAAAGTAAAAAAACTCTGCAACATATACCAGAAGCGAGGGTGGTGCAGAAAGTCTTGTGACTCAGATCCCAATATACCGACGCTCTCGATATTATACACTAACCACACAAACAATCTGCCTTTCTTTTCTTTGTTTTCCATTCTCTTTCTTCCGTTAAAACCAGGGTTCAGTTCACTCTAAAAAAACCCACTTTTCCCGTTAGTACTTGGGGTTCAGAGAAAATGCAAGAACCGGCTGGGTTAGGCATGGTGAGCAGTGGTGGAAGCGATGGGATTGGAGGGTTAAGCGGAGGCGGCGGAGGCGGAGGGGAAGTGCCTGTTTCCGGCGACCAGAACCGTGTGCTTAAGGCGGAGATAGCTACACACCCGCTTTATGAACAGCTTTTAGCAGCTCATGTGTCTTGTCTCCGTGTTGCTACACCGATTGACCAGCTGTCTTTGATTGATGCTCAGTTAGCGCAGTCTCATAACGTTTTGAGATCGTATGCTTCACAGCAACAACAACACGGTTATCCTCTATCACCCCATGAAAGACAAGAGCTCGACAATTTCTTGGTCAGTTCATCTCTTCTTGGTCACATAGTCTTGTGATTTTATATATTTTTTCTTGTTGTTTTCTTCTTCTGTTTTTTTTATTACATGGGGAAGTGGTTTTTGTTGTTTATGGTGTTTTTATTTTATTTTTTGGACATGTTTGGGGTGCAGGCACAATATTTAATAGTGTTATGTACTTTCAAAGAACAGCTTCAACAACATGTCAGAGTCCATGCCGTTGAAGCTGTCATGGCTTGCCGTGAAATCGAAAATAACTTACAAGCTCTCACCGGTTTGTCTTGTCCCCTCCTACTCTCTCTCTTTTTTTCCCCTTCAAACAATTAAACATAATTAGCTGCTTAATTAAGATTTTTTCTAACTGTAGCATTATATCCTACTAACAAACGTACGGGATTATTATATAGATAAGAACCACATCTCCATCGTTATCTGGTTTTTGGACAGAATCATATACTCTTGATAATATCATTGGTCTGTTAGTTTGAAGATATATATTTAGTAATGGTGTATTGCGCTTCATCTCTGGTTGGTAAGCAGGCATGAAGGGATAAGGATTCATAATATTTGGGTAATTTCTTAAGAGTCCGTACCCACCACAAGTGGGTGGCTTAGGTCCTACAAATAAAAGTCATACATGGTAGCTTAGGGTAGGGTGGCTTTGGAAGGGAATAGTTAGTTTTGAGGAAGAAGATGACCCCTCCCACCATATCCAAAACTTGATTCTAAGGTTGCTTTTGGATGGAATGAAGTGGACCAATCATGATAAATTATATCAGAACAGAAGTGGCTAAATTCGCATAAGTTAATGCAATAATATTCGTGTCATTCACAATTTTCTGCTAAATTTGTGTCAGAGAAAAGTAGGCAGTTCTTTCATGCTTATAGGGTTTGAGGATATCAGTTTGACAGTCATGCCTCACACCTTTGTGAGTGCCATTAGTACGTATCAGATGTTGACCCCAGCCTATTCAACTCTACAGACCTACCACGTTTTGTTTATGTAATCAACTTTCAATTCAATTCATAATACCCTTTTAATTCTGCATTATTGACCCTAAATACGGTGTAAAAACCCATGAACATTCTAGTTTTGTTATGCAGGTAATTACCATCATTCAACATGTATTCTGAATTATGTATGTGATAGTAAGTTATATATATAATATATTAAATTATGCTTTTAGTATTTAAATTATTAATTTTGGTGTATTTTAGTATCTAAAATTTTAATTTTTAAAATCATACCCAAAATTTAATTTTTGTTTCATTTTAATACCCCATTCAAAATTTAACATTAATTTTTTTTGAAAATTTGGGTACTAAAATGAACTCAAATCGATAATTTAGGTAGTCGATGTGTTAAGTTTTTAATAGCGGGGTACTAAAATGAAACAAAAACTAACTTTAGGTATGATTTTGGAAAAATTGAAAGTTTAGGTACTAAAACGGGCCAAAATTAATAGTTTAGATACTAAATATGTAATTTATCCTATAAAAGTCATGTAACTGATTCTTATGTATTATATTGAGGTCATAAACGAGCATAAAACTTTATGTTATGAAGATAGATTTTAGAAGATAAAAACATTATCTTATAACCTTGTTCCATCCTTGATTAGGTCATGGCATGCTTGTAGAAAGAAAATCCAAAACATTGGTGGAGCATATATATATATATATATATACATTATCAACATGGTATTTCTAAGTGTTGGGGATGATGACATGATATGTATTTGTATATCACATGTCATGATCATGTAGTAATGTGTGGATCTAAAAAGGACTAATCTTTTTATTGCCTCATTTAAGCAGTGGGACAACTGTCCCCCTCGATCTCTATAAAATAGATTAAAGGTATTTTAAATTTTTAGAATTATTTTCCCCCTTTTAAGTTGTTGTCAAGTCTGTTCATAAGATGAAACATGTTCATAAATTAATGGTAGTCGATTCTTTTTTTCATTTTGTTATTATGAAATATATATAATTCTTAAAAGTATAGGTATAAATATTATACATAGGTTTGAATTGAATAGGTTGATGTAAAATATATTAAGAATATTATAAATGATATATATTATGATTTTTTATTTGTAATTATCCTAGATTAATAGAAAACATGAACTAGTAGTAATGGAATTTGTTTAGTCAAATTCTGTTATTAATTTTTTGTTTAATGCATAAGTCACAGACTTAGTTTTTTCTTTTCTTTTCAATTTTATCATTTTAAGTCCATGTAATGTAATCATATTATGCAGATAAAAAATTTGAAATTTACAGAAGTAAAGAACTTAAAATTGAGAAGATAAAAATACCATAACTAAACCCACAATTTATAATAGAATTTGACCACAATTTCCTTTCCCACTTTTGCAGGGGTGAGCTTGGGTGAAGGTACAGGTGCAACAATGTCAGATGATGAGGATGAGCTGCAAATGGACTTCTCCTTGGACCAATCTGCCTCTGATGGCCAAGATTTAATGGGTTTTGGTCCCCTTCTTCCCACTGAATCCGAAAGGTCTCTAATGGAGAGGGTCCGTCAGGAGCTCAAGATCGAACTCAAACAGGTCCTTTGGCCGAACGTGAACGGTGTTCTATCTTTCATATTCGATCATCACAGCAAATAAAAGTAAAATGATCCGTTTGTCTATTACAGGGTTTCAAATCAAGAATTGAGGACGTGAGGGAGGAAATCCTACGCAAAAGAAGGGCTGGAAAATTACCCGGTGACACAACCACAGTGCTCAAGAACTGGTGGCAGCAACACTCAAAATGGCCTTACCCAACTGTAAGCATCACCACTATTCTACTGTTATAACTTAGGGTAAAATACATAAATGGTCCCTCGACAATAGGGTACCGCTTTTTTGAGTTCCTCGACTATTACAAAATGATCTCTGACAATAGAGTGTTACTTTGTTGAGTCCCTCGACTATTAAAGGTTACAAAATGATCACCCGACTATATATTATGTTTTACAATTGTCCTTTTACGTTATAAAATTGGCGGTATTATTATCTAAATGTTAACATGCTTACTGTGATATGATAAAATCCGATCCCAGAATCTCAAACTATTATCATATCTCAGTCATCATGTAAACGTCCAACTTAGACAATCGCCAATTTTTTAATGAAAAAAGATGAGTTTGGAACATAATGAATAGTCGGGTGATCATTTTGTAACTTTTAATAGTCGAAAGATAGTCAAAGGACCATTTTATAATTTTTAATAGTCGAAGAACTTAATAAGTTAGTATCCTATAGTCAAGGGACTATTTATGTATTTTACCTTATAATTTATTAGGGTTAAGTACACATGGTCTCCAACTATAGGGTGTTGCTTTATTGAGTCCCCTAACTATCAAAAGTTACAAAAATGGTCATTTAACTACAAGGTATTGCTTTGTTGAGTCCGTCAATTATTAAAAATTATAAAATGATCACCCGACTATTCATATTTTTCAAACTCGACATTTTTCGTTAAAAGATTGACGATTGTCTGAACTGAACTTTAACTTGCTGACTGAGATATGATAAAATAAGATCCTATAACCATTTGAGTTGTATGATCGTTTGAGATTTTGAGATTAAATTTTATCATATATCAATCAATAAATTAACGTTCATCTCAGATTGCTGTCAAATTTTTAATAGAAAATGATGATTTTAGAATATATCAATAGTAGGTTCTATTCTGTAACTTTGTAACAATCAGAGGACTCAAATAAGAAACAACCTATAGTCGAAGGATCACTTCATAACTTTCTAATAGTGGGGACTGAAATAGGCTATAGTCGGAACCGTTTGTGTACTTTATCCAATTTATTATGGGTGTGGATTCGAGGTTCACATAGGACGATAATTACAGGAAGATGACAAGGCGAAACTAGTGGAGGAGACAGGGTTGCAACTGAAGCAGATAAACAACTGGTTCATTAACCAGAGGAAGCGCAATTGGCATAGCAATTCTCAATCTGTGACTTCCTTAAAGTCCAAGAGGAAAAGGTAAGACAACAAGCTCCATCCATCAAGCATTAATGGCTTATTATGTGAGCTGTTGGGGTTAAATAATCGTGGGCTAGCTAACATTTTGTGAAATGAATTTGGGGAGTTTAGGTGATTTAAAAAATAAAAAAAACCAGGTTTGTAGATTGTAATAGATTGAGCTTTTTATGTGTGTTCTATGTAGATTCAAAATCCTAACAAAGTAAAACGTGCTTCTTGTAAGAATCTATGTTCTTTTATAGATATCTCTAATTTCTAATGTTCGTTATATTCGTTTAGATGCGAGACAATGTTGCAGATTCTCTACTCGAAACTGAGACAATGCATTCAATGTTTGCTTAAACGGAGAAACTTTTTTTCAAAGTTGCATTGTCGGTGATAAGTTCATTAATTTTGATGGGGTTTACTTGAACACGTCGTTTGGTTCATGCTCTACCCTCTATATTTTTTTCTTAATTTGGGGTAAGTATAAAGGTAATATATGTTCAAAGATAATTCTCAATCATTTGATATTATACGTTCACACCTTTGACATTCTTGGTGCTCGAACCTGGGACCTCAAGGAATAACAATTCTTTTACCCTGGCATGCTACAAATGATGATCATAAATTTTAGGGTAAATTGTATGTCTAGTATATAAACTATTACTTCTATTCTTTTTGGAATCTACACTTTATTTTTTTCAAACTATACCTAATGTTTAATTTAGGTTTCATTTTCGTCATTAAAAACTTAACGGTGATGTTGATGTATCACGACATGGTAATGTCACGTCATCATGAAAAATATAAAACATACAACACCAACAATTTTATCAAACTTTTAACAATGGGTGTCAAAATAAATTATAAACTAAACATTAGATATGATTTTGAAAGAAAATAGAATTTAAACATTAAACCGAAATAAAAGTAATAGCAAACCGGAATAAAAGTAACAATTTAAGTATTCAACATGTAATTTACCTAAATTTTAAATAGTAAAACGAACATAGATGATAAAAAAATACTCTCAATTAGTTCAAGTTTGAGATAATCCTAACCAGGTTAAGCTTGAGATGATACGTCTTATCTATACTTTCACAATGGGTATTGCTCTTGTTGCTATATATATATATGATAGGGTAAACCCAACTATGGGGTTGGTATTTAATGGCGACGTGTCATATCTTGCTTGGATTGTTAATTCATTAAATAAAATTAAAATTAGGACCAAATTGATTAAATGTACAAGTATTGAGGATTAAATATATAATTATACTAATGTTTAACTGCCACGTAAGCATCCGTTAAATACTAACTTGGAGTGGTTATATTGACCCCAATTAAATAGTTCAATGGTCATATTGATGTAATTTTGAAAATGGTGATCATTTTGATACCAACCCCATAGTTGGGTGGTCATTCAAGTAGTTTACCCTATAATTTGTATTCTCATTTCACAACCAGGTATGTACACATTTTCCATTTCAATTTTTAAAAGTTTATAGGTGGCTGTAGGAGAGAGAGATTTGCATGTCGGATTCACGTGTGCGTATTCTAACAAGACGAACAAAAGCCTCGCATTTAAACGTTTGAATGTGCTAATTTATAATTTACTAGAATTTGGATTTACTTAATTTTGGGTACAATTTTTTCACCCAAAGTATTTGCAGATTGTTCAATGATGTTCATCGTGCTAGTCTTAGACTTAAAATACACCAAATGACATTAATAAGATATCACGAAAGGCATAATTAAGAATTTGTATTGAATACATCAAAATCTTTCACCTTAAATTGGTATTACCTAACTAAATATTAGATTAATTTTAGAGAATAATATGACCCCATGAACTGGTCGAACAAACCATTTATCCTTGACGATATATATTTATTCTTAATAACTAGTTTATTTAACTGAAGATAATCGATATCATATTAAATGGCTAAGACAATTCAATTACAATTGAGAAAAGAAGGGACATATATAAGGTTTTATGTTAGGAAACAAATTTAAATTTAGGGGATTAACTAAAATTTTATGGAAGAAAATACATTTTCAATAAAAAATACATAAAAAAATAAACTTCGTTGGCTCAAAGCCTATCGGTCAAATCCCTTGACCTAGCAGGTCCAATATGAGCTTCAAAAGCTCTCTTGAAAACTATCAATATTGCACGATTACTACCACCAAGTGCAAGTAGGTCAATACTAGAGTTAACCCCAGGTTCAAGAGCAGTGATGGATTGAGAGAGATAGGCAGTGACAACCGTTTTCTTTGAAAATTTAAATTATTATATATTTTAGATTTTTTCTATATATTTTTTATTAAAATTTTGTTTTCGCTATCTAAAATTTTATAAATTCAAGTTTATCCTCTAATATAAAATCTAACATCCCTATTTACTCAAGAGGATGTCAAAGGTTCTAATAGACCAGCTCGAACATGAAGATCCAACTTAATAAAAGCTAAATTATACGTTTAGTACTTAAACTATTATTTTTGTTCAATTTTAGTACCTAAACTTTCAATTTTTTCAAAATTATAGCTAACGTTTACTTTTTGTTTCATTTTCGTAATCGGCAGTTAGAAAGTTGATCGCAAGCAACATACTTTTTTATTTGGGTAAATTATACAATTTATCACTTAATATGTTCTCACTCTTATTTTGGTCACTAAATTTTAAAAAAATTTAATTTAATCATTAAACTTTCGAGTTATTTCTATTTTAGTCACACTCTCATGACCTGAACTATTTATTATTATTTTTAACATGATATGGAAAATTAATTAATATTTAATATCAAATAAGATTTAAAATAAAATAGTAAATAGAATTTATAATTTTAATTCAACCCTTCATCTCTAAACCCCAATCATCTATCTAAACGACTAAACCCCAACCCCACTGACATCACTATTTAACAATCACATAACAATCCCCAGAAAACAAATCATTTACAAACCAGAAACAAATGAACACAGAGAAACGAATTTAAGTGTCAAGAATACAACAACCACCACCACCTTCACAAAGACAAGTTAAGAAAAATGTAAACATTGCTCAATACCCATAATTGAAACAAAAAAAACTCATAATTTTTGTTATATAAAAACAAAAATAGCAACAATAAAAGGGAAAACACATGAAGTGGATGAGAAGGAAGCTGCCATCCATGCTTTCTCATTTCCTCTTAAAACTAAAACAAAGAAGAGATGAAAAGTATGAAAAAAATATTAGTTGCTACTTATACTTATCTTCTTGTACTTTCCCTTATTTTTCAGGCAAAATAAAGATAATCCATGTCACTAGATCACCAATCAAACAAAAACAATATTACCCCATTTTTACTTTCATGTGCCTAATCATAAAATCAAAATGACAAGAGTAAAAAAAAAGAACAAGAACTTGATGGAGATAAGTATGAACAACAAGCTTAATATTTTTTTTTGTGTGTGTGTAGTTTTTCTCAATCGTACACTGCCTCATGCAAGGGAAGAGAAGGAAATGAAAGAAAAAAATAAGGGATTGTCTGAGTTTTTGGTGTATTCTTTGTTTCGTGAAGATGAAGAAGTTAAGGATGAGTTTAGATTTGCATTGGGTTTAGGGATTTAGTGTTAAGATTAAGAATTTTTATTATAAATCTTATTTGACATTAAATAATAATAAATTGTCCATGTCATACTAAAAACAATAATAAAATAATTCACATTGGTGATCAAAATAGGAGTAATTTAAAAGTATAATGATTAAACTGAAAATTTTAAATTTAAGTGATCAAAATAGAAATGAGAAGATAATTGAGCGATGAACCATATAATTTACCCAAATAAAGAAGTATCATGTCAGCTCTGTCGTTAACTGTTTAACGGTTGGTACTAATATGAAACAAAAATAAATGTTAGGTATAATTTTAAAAAAAATAAAAATTGAGGTACTAAAACAGATCAAAACTGATACATTAAAAACTAAACACGTAGTTTACCTTTTAATAAATAGGGCAGATAATTTGGATCGGATCTGAGTGACACTCTGCCTCAGATTCGCCCATAGCCTATGCCAAACTAAAAGCACAACCAAATTAGCATACTATAATTGATAATAAAAAAAAATAAACAGTGTTTAAAAAATTGAGGTTGAGGCACAGCGAGTTAAAAATGGTTAATTGAGTTTGGCAAGGAAAATTTAATGAAGCGCGTGAGGCACTAAGGCATTGCCTTCCTTTCAAGTATCGATTTAAAAAATTAAAATTTTCTATTCAAATTGATTAAAAAAATTTGGATCGAATGACTTCATGTTATAATTTTATAGACTCGACTAGAAAAATTTTAAGTTCAAATCAAGTTGTAATAACTTGAATAGTAACTCGAATGACTTGAAATTTTGGTAATTAGTGAATTGATTTTCAAGTTTGAGTCGAGTCCCTCGACTTTGTATGATATATATATATCAATATGAAAAAGAATTGATTATATATATATATATTGTGGAACCAAATAATATTATAATATTAGAAATATTAATAATTAAATTTAAAAAGAAAATCGAAAATTCGAATCGAATGACTCGACTCAAGTTTTATAAACTAGACTAAAAAAATTTATATTAATTTCGAATTGTAAAATAGGACTCGTCAATTCGAATAACTCAAAATCTTTTGACTCAACTCGACTTAATCAAAATTCACCCCTACTTTCAACGGTTAATTCAATTGTTTTTTATATATATATACTTGCTTTTGTTTTATTTTCTCTTACATACTGACTTGGGTCACATTCGAGCCACAAAAATATCTCTTAACATCATAAAGTGGACAACCTGAAGAAGAAGATGGGGAAAAATAAGAAAGCAACTAGTCCTATTAATATCATCTTCAGATCTCCAGCTCCAACATTGAAGACAACCCTTCCCATATACTCCGATCTCATTCTCTGTCACTTTCTTTTTGTATTTTTAGGGTGTGTTTGGTTGGGGGATGTGAGATTCCCATAGGGATGAAATCCACATTTTCCCGTTTGGTTGGCCAGGAATGTCATTCCCGATAATCTTACATTATCAATAGTGTGTTTTTTGGGTATATTACCGGGAATGTCATTACCTCATTTCCTTAGGTATTGTTGGATTACCGACATTTTAGACTAAAATACCCTTAATTTTTTTTTCTTTCAAAAATATCATTATTCTGTCATTGAATAATAAAAATTATACGAATGTTAAATTACAAATTTATTCTTAAACTATTTTAGATTTACAAAAAAAACTATAATTAAAATTTTATATGAAGTTCAGGGTTAAAATAAAATTTTATCCTTTCATTAAATTTTTATATTTTCAATTTTGTAAAAACAATTATATAAATTTTATGAATTTATTTATTTTTAAATATAATATATAAATATTTTCAACTTGTTAAAAAACAAATATATATAATAAGGACAATTTGGTCAAATATATTCTAATAATCTTTTATTCCTTTAACTAAACACGATAATCTTAATTCTTGAGTTAATGTGGCGTGGCCTTTGAGGGCTTTTTGCAAAGCATTTTTTCTCTTTTCTCTCGAAAGCTCCTTTTTATCTTCTCTTTATTCTTCTATTTCTTCGTCTCTTTTCCCTCCTAAAGCAAGAAACTAGAACAAAATATTCACCTTTTCTCTTCATCTACAGAGCACAAGCACCAAAATAAGCTCACCATCTTTTTTAATGGTGTTCTTGGATCATTTGGGATTCTTTGGGGGAGGGGTTAAGATTAAAAAGCTTCTAATGTTTTTGTCTGGATTCGCTACAGTGTATTTGTTGATTAGTAAGTTAAATTCAACATTTTGATGTTAGAATCATTTTTTTCGCTTTTGATTAGTGAAAAATAGGTGTGAGATCTCCAAGAAAAAAAGTAAGGAGAAGTTGGTTTTTTGTTGAGATGGAAAGGTTTTGAGCTACTTAAGAGCTGAGGCAACACACTTTAAATATTTCATACAACTTGTAGATCATGTACATTGAGCTTGCTTTCTTGTATGGGCGTGGTTAAGCATGTTGAGAGCTTTGGTGCGTGAATTTATTATAAATGATTTGGATGTTAGAAATCTGTCAAAATAATTATTATTGCATCTATGTACGTCTATAAGATTCAATAATCAACTCAGGCCTTAAAAAGTATTTAGGATGAGTTTAAGGGTTATTTACAAGTGAAACACGATATTTCTAGGTTTGATTATCGATATCATATGAGTTAGTATCGATACTATTCCTTGTAAGGTAAAATCTAGACATTTTATTGTGGTAGTATTGATACCATGTTTTTTGGGGTATCAATATTGTTCGTTTGATATTGATATCGAAGGCTTGATACCAAAAACAATGTATTTTAGGTAACTTTAGTGCTCAGTTTGGCATCGATATCTATGGGTTGGTACTAAGGTATGGTATTGATATCCTATAAAAGACCAGTGAATTGAAATGTTAAAATGACAGTATAAGTTGGTTTAGTGAATGCTTTTGTAACACCCACAGACCGATGCGGGTGACCCGATCCGAGGTGTCACATTAAGGCTACCGAGCGACCCACCGTAAAAATCTCAGAAAAATTTAACTTTTTGTTAAAACGCTTAAAATCATAAAACAATTTATAAATACACATGCACTGTACTCCGCAAGTAACGTCGATGGAACTCCTATACTGATGCCGATAGCTGCACTGGTTTGATTCTTTTAACCTAAATGGTGAGGAAAAGAGTGAGCTTTGAGAAGCTCAGTTGTAAACACCCGTTTTTGTCTGGGTCTACAAAAACATTTTATTATATTATATTATATATTTATTTATTTTATTATTATTATTATTATTTTATTATTTTATTATTTTTACAGGCCCCATACTTAACAATCTCGATTTAGTGAGATTCAGAAAAAAACAACGTATTTGAGTCCTATTGAAACACTAAAACCGAAGTATTTTGAGTCCAAGTAGGACTCTAAATATAAGCTAAAAATAGGTTTCTTTAGACTATAAATAGACTCCAGCATCAAGAAGAAAACACACAGAGAAAAACGAGGAACCAAAATCAGAGGAAGGGGCAACGATTTGGAAAAACCGAGAGAGGGGAAGCCGAAAATTTTATCGACCATTTCGTGTAAAATGGAGGCTGGATTCGTGTTTCCAACGTTGAGATAAAACACCCCGTGAAAAATAGAATCGAACGAAGACCAAGCCCATCGGTAGACACACTCGACCACTGCAATTCCAAAGCCTCTCCCTCTTTTGAATTTGAGATAGACGAGACATGGTTTTAAGAACCAAAACTTTAGTTTTTTAATGTTGCACGTGTTTTTATGATTTAAAAGGGAGATTTCATGCCTCAATCATCCAAGTTTATTTTTATTTCAATTTGGTCCGTTCATATTCAATTTCTCTGTTTTGTTCTTATTTTTATTTATTTATTTAGTATATATGTATGTTATGTTCATTATTATTTCCTTTTTGTCCATTTATTTTATTTTACTCTTTTTATATATTTCTTTTATTATATTTTCTGGTATTATTTTTCTAGGTTTTTTATTATTTTGTTTTACTTATTTTATTTTTATTTTTACTTTTACTTTTAATTTTTATTGATTTTATTGATTTATTGTTTTTTATTGATTTATTGTTATTATCATTTTTTCATTCTTATGTTTTCTTCCAACATTTTTGACCTTGGTATAGAAATTACAATCGATCAAAGGTAAGTAATTCGAATCGAGTATTTTAAATTTTAATTTTAATTTTTAATTTTCGCTTATAAAAACAACCGACAAATTAATTGGTACCAAAAGGGCAGTTCAAGGGTGTTAATCCTTCATTGACCGTAACTGACTCCCGAACCCGACACGTTTCTGGTACAACGCAGATCAGGTAAGATGGTGTCTGATCTCCCTAATATCGCTTTAAAATGATTGGTGGCGACTCCTAACCCACTCATTTCAAGTCGAAGCCTAATTCCGAGCCCAATCCAA